GTGTGAGAGAGAGAGAGAGAGAGAGAGAGAGAGAGAGAGAGAGAGAGAAACAGAGATAGAGACAGAGAGACTGGGTCACTATGTAGCCCTGGCTATCTTGGAATTCACTATGGAGCTGACCACACCAGCTTGGAACTCAGAGATCCACCTGCCTCTGCCTCCGCGTGCTGGGACTAAAGGAGCCCACCGTGCCTGGCTTGCAACCTGTGCTCTACACTGCTGGCCTGTTTCCCCTCCCCCAGGCTCTCTCTATGTAGAGCAGCTAATCCTCCTGCCTCTGTAATCTGCTTGGACTACAGTTGTGCTCCACCACATGGCTCCAAGTGTGCTCAAAACACAGAAGCCCCAGGCATGAGCCTGCAGAGACTTCCCTATTGGGGTTAGCTGGGCACAGGAGGGACAATGCTAACTGTTAGTCAAACTCCTGTCCTGTTACAATGGAAGGACATAGGGCCGGGCAATGACACCTCTCTTGCAGCAAGCTGCTTCCCCAGCCTCTGTCCTCAGCCAGACAGCTGTGGACACTCAAGGAGGCTGGCTGGCTGCATCGAATGTGGCTTTAAAGGGACGGCCGTCGTGTTCCCTCTCTCTTGGGCATTTAAAGGCTTTGTATGATCTCAAACAGGACTGTGATTCATTCTCAAAAATAATGGCCTAGATGGAGCTCGTCTTCCGGTCCAAGAGTGAGGTTGTGACTTACTCTCGGGTAGGCACAGGGAGGCTGGGCATTCAGCCAGCCCCTCTGCAGCTCTTGCCCAAGTAGAAGGGCCGGTAGGCTCACCTTTGAGTGCAGTCTTCAGCAGCTGCTGGGTCTCTGCATCAAACGACTGGATTTTATACTCATCTCTACTGGCCTCCCCCATGACGGTCCAGCCTCAGCAGTTTTTCACTGGCCTGAAACTAATGTCAGCACCTGAGAAGCAAAGACCGAAGAGGCTTCGCGTGAGAATCGCAGAGCTCGGTTTTCTAGTCCTGTAGGCACTGGGTGGGGCGGGCCGGGCCGGGCCTGGGAGGGACAGGAGTAACTGGACTTCTGTCGCTCTCAGCCCACCACACTTGGCTTCTGGTGGAGACTTGAGCATCAAGTAGGCACCTGCAGCTCAGCCTGAGGAAACCCGGGCTTCTGCGATTACATACGAGGAATGAAGCGGGAATTCACCTACGGCCGCGGCAGGATCTGGGTTATTATCAGCCAGTATCAGGGTGCATTTAGGGGAGCGCATACTGAACTGGGTTGTGGAGAGGGAGACGTCAGACTCGCCCAAGTTATCCGGCATGGAGAATTCTGGCTCGGCTCCTTTGCCGGCGTTGTCCAAGGCGCGGATCCTGATACCAGCAGGGCTTGGAGCCCTTCTCCCCCGCGTTAGCCAGTCCTTTTCCCCCCACA